TGAACAAATTAGAGATGAATGCGAAGAAGTTAATATTGAAGTAATAGAAATTAATGAAGAAATTTTTTAGGAAAAATCAGATTTAGAAGAAATATCTAGTGAGGACGAATAGAAATAGAATAAAACTAATTTCTAAAAATCATTATAAAGATTGAGGGCATGATTTGCAATAAAAATCTATTTCATTAAGGGTAAAATAGACATTTCTACAAAAAACTCAAATGGATCATTTGACCCGGCTAATTTGAAAATTCTCCCTCTAGTGAACCGGTTGAGAAGTAGGCCTTGTTAGCTATCCCACGAACTAGAAATTCTTAAGCAAATCGAGGAGGTCATCTCAATGAAGATTTAATCTTCTTCTCTAGTCTATGCTTGCCCTTACATTTATAGTCAGTGTTCTAAAAAGTTCTTCTAGACGGCGTTTCGGGCAAAACGCCTCGCTTCCCCACCTAGGAGGTCTTTATTAATTTTTCCTTCCTTAGTTCCTCTCTTTCGTCTTTCCTAGACGCTTAATTAATTTTTTTTCCATTTTTAAAAAGGTCTTTTATTTGACTTTATTTTATTTTATTTTTTTCAAAAACTTACTCAAAGCTTATGCAATATAAAGCATAACGCCCAAAAGTTTGAATTTTGGAAACAAAAATCCAGCTAAAACCACGCCAGCTTTCATCTTAATGCTCCATTATTTATCTTAATCAAGAGTTAAAAGAAACCACTCTTCCTATTTGTACATGATAGATAGCTCGGATAAATAGCGCCAAATTCCAAATCTTATATCCCGTTAAGGGTGACCACCACTTTCCTAGGAGTAGCCGCGTCGCGATGTTCACATAGCCATATTCCCTGAAATAAACAAGATGCAACTTTTAGACGTCATCCAGTCAGTTGTTTAGAAATTGATATGCTTGTCCAACAATTTTCGTAGAATAATGAATCATGTGTTAATAAATGCTGAACTATATAATATGGGAACAAAAAAAACCTTGGTAGGTAGATGGTCATAAACGCATAAAAAAACTATCCAAACAGATCCAATGAACCAGTACTATGCTATGTCATTAACTTGTTCACAGATTATTTAAGCATGGAAGTCACACAGACAAATCACATTTTCCATTCGCTCGAATAGATTCATGTCATATGTCATCATTGTTCCTGTTGATATTATTCTTGTGACAACTTGCTGTTAGGTAGTTCAATAAATCCCCATATGAAAAGGTGGCATCAGTACGTGTAAATTCTACTGATGAAAAATCAAAATCTACCATCCCACCCGGCAACCAGACACCCTCCATTGAAATGTCTTGCCAAAAAAAAAAAAAAAAGAAACACAAACTGAAACAAAAAGTTTCCAGTTGCCTCTTTAAGATTCTATGTTCAATAATGAAACTAACTTTCAACGCTTCTCTTTCCTAATCACATTTAATTCAGTACATATCTCGGTAGAGTAAGAAAGGCAAACACATTTCCAAAATACATTCATAGTTTCTTTTTCTTTTGGGGGTTGAGTATCATGATGCAAGGTAAAGCTTGCAGGTTACCTGCCAAGTTCCCATGTTCAGTTTTCCATTAGTGATAGGTATCCTGCACGAGTAAGAAACTGTGATGAATTACAAGTATTAAACCAAGAGAACTCTTGAAGTGTAACATAAACGAATGATAAGTTCAAAATTCGCACGTGAGGGAGCAGCCAAACATAGATGACTTGATGTGTGCTGGCATGTCATCTGGACCTGGAAAAATCACACGATATCAAATCCCAGTATGTGAAGCAAAGAACGGCAATCAGGATAATTTAAATTTTTGTTATATTATTAATTATTGTTTCTCAACGTGCATCTTGGAATCTATACATTCCATTTTTTGGGAGAAGATACCAGTTGTCATCCTCAAAACCAAATCCTTACCGACTGAATCATTAATATTGAATGAAAAGCTATTAACTACTAATGGGACAAGGTATTTGGAATAATTAGAAAAGATTGTGCAGTAATATTGTTACTGATACCATTTATGTCACTTCCAAAACCAAACAGTTCAGATTCATGGAGATTTTGGCAAACAATGACAAGAAATAATTGGAATCCTTTATTGCTCAAACACTGTTGAAAAAGGCATGCTTACATTTGAAATCAAATGTAATCCAGAGCTAAAAGCAACATATGGTGTGTTTGTGCGCTTTTGTGGGTGTGAGAGGCAGAGAAGGAGGGGTTTCATTCGCAAACAGTGGACTACTTTGAACAAGATATATACTCCAAATCAAAGGATCCATGCATTATATAAAAAAATAAATAAACAGGAAAAGAGCGGAATACCTAGCTTGCTGTCAAGGAAATAACTCAAAAGCATAAAAAAGAGAGGAACTAAATCAACACTACATTTTTTCTTTCAATTAAAAGAACTACCTTCCAGCGTGTGTTTCCATGGTGCAGACATTCCCTGAAATCATGAATTTGAACAATCTAAATGCCAAATGTTAATAGTATCAATGTACAGAGTACGAACCCATGGGGAAAAAATGTACCTCTGGAACTACTCTGTTCAAAAATTTCTCAGTATCGTCTCTAACATCCGAGTCATAATTTTCATTTATAGTCAAAGAAGCGCTAGTGTGGTGCACTGTTAAAGAGACATGCATTAAAAGAAACAAGAAACATCTGAATTGGCAAAAAAAATGAAGTAGAAACATCTGAATTGGCAAAAAAAATGAAGTAAAGAGAAAACTGAAGGATGAACAATAGGCGGAGTTCAACTCACAAAAAAAATGAGCAAGGCCACATTTGAACTCTGATAAATCTTGCCCAATTTCCTTCAAAATCTGAGACAATATGGAAATTGTAAAATGTGAAAGCAAAGAGATAGTAATAGCAAAGAGCATCTGCCCTTAAATGCGCACTGCATGAATCAGAAACATAATCTTGTCGCCCAAATGAGTGAAAAATATATTGAAAATGATATGAGATGTAATATGTACCCTTTCTTTATCTGGACAACAACTTCCAAGTGAGGTTGTATAAATTTAAACTTTAAACCACAAGACAGGTTGAAAACCCATTTAACAATTAGCATCTTTATGATGAGAGAAATTTAATTTACACATGTAATCTGAATTATAAAGTCAAGATTGATAAACCATCCAAGAAAGGAGATGTGTGAAGAGAAATGTCAAGCAAGTAAAATTAGTTGCTGTTGGGTTTTTTGGTACCCAATAAATTCGAAAAATGATTTAAAACTGTTGTTGGATAATTATTATATCAACACATAAGATTGATGACCCGACCCTAAAACTTTTTTGAGCCATTAAAAGCAGTCTAATTAATTAGAGTTGCTCAAGGCCCAATTTCTCACTTAATGGATGGCTCGTTTGGCCCACTCTATGTTCTCTTGTTGGGCCGACCCATCACTATGCCCTAAGTGATCCATATATATATTTCCTTCACTTTGTTTTGCTCATTAGGGAAGTGTGTTTTGTCTTGCAATAGAGAGAACTCGGCTGCCTTGCTTTGTGCTTTCGTTCTTTGAAGTTTGCCTTGTGATCTTCTCCTTACCCTTTAGCCTTTGTGGCTACAAACACCTTCCCCCTTCGTGTTCTAAGTGGGCATATTGGTAGCAACCAAAGAGAGAAAGTTTGAAGGTTTCTTGGGTCATTTACTTGGGTGTTGATTCTTGGTGAAACTGAGCCCGGAATAGTGTTGATTGAAGCCCAAAATACAAAAGTTGCAGCATTGACAACTCCATTTTGATAAAAATCCTCGAAAACATTAAATAGATACCTTCTTATAATAAATTATGTTTATTCATTTCATTGCCAATTCAAGAAGTTCAAGTTCATAAGAAAAAGCTTTTCCATCTTAACATGCTCTCTATTTCACTGCCTCACAAACTTTCAACTAAGTGGCATAGAATAAGATATGCCAAAAACAACACACAATTAGGATAATGGAACCAAACATTTGAAAACTTCTAAAAGAACTTAGATATAAGAACGATAGATAAACTACTATATTCATTCTTCAACCTCCACCCCGGAAACCAAGCTAACAATACCAAGTATCAACAACTGCATTCGCTCGTAACAATTTCAAGCTTGAACCAAGTTCAGCTTGATCAGCTATCATCGACAAAATACATAGAAAAGTCAAAGCTACTCAAGCAGCCTCTATATATCGCATTCCTAATTTAAGCCAAGCTATTACGCATTAAGAAAATCCCAAGTCAGATGAGTTCCTCCTTATAAATTGATGTTAAGAATCTCAGACCATCGGATGACCCTTTAAAACGCAATAGAGAAACTATGACCATAGAGTAAACCCTCGTCTTTCTCTAGATTAAGAAATCAAAAACAAAACCCACCAATTTTCGCAGCAATAAATTTTCCAAGTGCACAACTTATGAACAAAGTTTCGATAACCACGAGGGTGTAAGAAGAAATCAAGGCATCCTAGATTAGCAATGAATTGCAGGAAAAAAAAATGAAAAGCTAAATAACAAAAATAAACCTTGGAAGTAATGAGATGACAGCCTCGTCTTTGGGCAGGAATGATTACAGTCTTCTGAGCCCATTTGGGAGCTGTAACAGTTTCAACAGTCGCACCAGATGCCATAGAAATTGAATTTACAAAAAGCTGATTCTTGATTGTTCTACTGGGAGAGAAATTGTGCGAAAAGTTTATTGCAATAGGGCTTGATAAGGGTTTCAGTGTGGCAGTTTTACGCACATATATAAATGACGGTGATGCGGGTAATCCGTGATATTAGCGTCTGCATTTCCGTCCCTGATAATGGGAGAATTAAGCTTTGTTGACAGTTAAATTTGACATCTTCGTTGACGGTAGAGAAATGTGTGAAAGAATGATGGAATAATATTGTTGACTATATTTTAAATAATTCAATGAAATTCTACCACGTGACGTCCAACATGTTAAGGTGCGTTTGATTGCGAATGTGAAATTTGTATGAAAATAAAAATAAATTTTAGGTAATTCAATTGTCTTGAACTTATTTTTTTGAAAATTATTAATTAAACGTATTTGATTGATTTAATTTTCAACCTAAAAAATATTATACTTGTCTATTTTTATTGGTGATTAAATGAGAGAAGGGAGATATATGAGAGAGAGAGAGAGAGAGAGAGCGCGCGAGATACCTGGAAAGTCAAAAACCGTCTCCCTCAAAAAAATATTTTTCTTGTTTTCAATAAAGTTATGGTCAAGTGATCAAAAATATGAAAATATTTTTCGTGAAAAAATTGTCTATCAACATCACAAAAATAGGAAATTAGGTGAAAAACAAATATTTTTCATGGAAAATGTTGACAATCCCCCCAATTTAGCATGATTGGATAATGGGTCCCACTTGCACTCAATTAATGTTGGATTGGGGTTTGTTCAAGTAGGGATGGTAACTGGATAAATATGAGAAGAGTAGGTCATTCTCGTTTCCTGCTTCGTCGAATATTTTTGTTATCTTATCCCGTCTCTACCCGATTAAAGTGACATGATGAGTTTAGGATGAGATCTTAGCAGTTCCCCTGCCCTGTTTATTTGTTTTGTTTTTTATTTATTTTATTTTCTGTTTTTATTTTTATATCTTTAGTCAGTGAATATTATTGGCTTTTTTTTCAATTTGTTAAGAACAACTTATGTTCATTTTAAAAATGATGATAAATCTTTTTTTATATATATAAAAAACTTAAATTTGAAATAATTTTAAACAAGACGGGGACCATGTTTTTTATATACTGCTTCAATGCAACAATTCTCGCCCCGTCATGTTTACTCGATTAGACGGTAATTCATGTTTCATTTGAGACGAAGAACGAATTTTTTTTGTCACCCCTATGTTCTAAGCCATTATGTTTGGGGAATTAGGACCAATGGCCTTGTGTAATATTGTATTTAGCTAAGAGGCTTTTTGATAATGTAAAAGAAATAAATATAAAAATAAAACCTTAATAAATAGGAAATGACAATTTTAGCCCATACATGCAAACCCTTTTTTTTTTCAATTTCACTATCGCCTACGCCATTTCACCCTCATATCGACTTTCGAAAGCACAGTTGTTGAGTCTCCCTTGAAACTTCTTCCTTCTCAATTTTACTAAAAAAATCATCTCGATTTTTAGTAAAATATTCAGTCTAGTGCACGGACGGATTCAGGACCAGATTACAGGTCAGGCTAATACGTAAAAAATAAAATAAAATTACACATGATTTTTTTCTAACTAAAAAAAATTCAGTGAGTGGGAGCTAGCCTGTCCCTCCATCCGTCACTGGTCTAGCGGGACATTGCTCTCATATGAAGGTAAACCACTATAAATCTTTATGTTTCTTAAGTGTGCATTTCCATTCTTGTTTGTTCATTACCGTTCTTGAGTTTTCGCTTGGATTGTATACCTATGTGGAGAAAAAAAATTTGGTTGCGGTGTTAGCATGGCATTTTTAGCCATAGACTGCCACTTGTATAATTTTGAAATTTACAGCACATTCATATTAACAATTAATCATGTAGCTGTAATTGACTCTATGATTTTCCGACATTTTGTTTTGTCTTAATTTTATAAATGTTATCAATGAAGTATTAAAGTGGAGTAATGTGGGTGATTACAACGTTTACATGAAAGCAGATACAAATGAGCTTAACATATTTTCACATTGAATCTCGTCGTTTTATGTGAATCAATAACGACATTGAAATTGTTATTCACAACTATAACTACATTGAAGTCGTTAGGTAAAAATGACTTGTATAGCATTATAAATATGACATAATGACATTGAAGTCGTGACAAATATAATGACATTGAAACTGTTACGATAAAAAAAAAAAAAAATTACTGCTTCATATAATGTCATTAAAGTCATTCCATATAATAATAACGACGTTAAATGTCCATAAAACGACTTGTATTGCATGTATCAATCTGACATAATATGATATAACGAAATTGAAACAGTTCCAAATAAAAATAACGATATTGATATCGTTATGCCCTAAAGAATGATTAATGGAAGTGTATAGGAATCATTTAAGTAATTAATTGAAAATTAAAAAAAAGTATATATTTTTAAATTTTTTGAACTGTATTTTCCGTACATTTATGAGCAAAACTATGAAAGTCATTACATTAATCAATGAGAATAATAAAATTGAAATTTATTCCAAAATTACATGTGTATCTCAAGCACTCTACTGAATGTGCAAACTAGAAATAACCTAGTTGAAGAAAATAATACCTGGAATTATAACATGACTAAACGAAATCTACATATCCACCTCAACTTTCTTGCAAAATACAAAAAAAAAAAAAAACTAGAAAATTCAAAATATTACAAATTTCTAAACTAGATAGCAAAGTTTTCTCAGATGGTTTCCACCAAGTACTAATCGGCATTTTGAACTTTCTGGCGGGGTTGATGTAGCTGCTAAGGTAATAGATAGCGAGCATGAACATTCTGATTAATCTTGCGGGGTGGTGCACAAAGTTGTTGAGGATATGGAAGATGAAGCTTAGGACGTGGAGTGGTAAACATGTTGAATGTAGAAGCCCATATACCAGTGGAAAAGGGATTAGTCTGAGAGAACAGCACTCGATTTGGAGGCAATGTTGCCAAATTCTTGACAATAAATGGATGACTCAATAGCATGTCGGCCGTCCATCTCTGTTCGTGTTTCTTGGCCAAGCATTTGTTCAAGAAATCTTTCGCAGCGTCGGAAATATTTTCGGGTATTGGATTACCAAATCCAATCTGCCGAAACAATTCTGCATCACTCCTAGCAGTCGACCAAATGCGTTTCCCAGTGATCATCTCCACTATAATGCAACCAAGAGACCATATATCAGTAACTGGCTCGTGAATCCCCAAAGCTATTGATTCTGGAGACGAATAGAACAGTGCCCCTCTGTTGTGAGTCGATCGCCCAGGATTCAAGATTTTCACCTCCTCTCCGATTTTCTGGGCCTGTCCAAAATCTGCTATCTTGAGATTGTGTATACAAGAACCATCTTCGTTGGGAAAGACGAGAATATTGGCGGGTTTGATGTCACAATGAACAAACCCCTTATCGTGGACGTGTTTGAGACCCTTAAGCAGCATATAACTGTAACACGCAACGACAGATTCTGGCATATTTCCTCCAGTTTTGATGATCAGATCAGTGAGACATCCACCGGATGCATATTCGAGGAGAAGATTATAGACCTCTCTATTGTTTTCAAAACTTATATCTTCTCCAAAACACTGGACGATTTCACGACAACCTCTCAATTCGAACAGAATCTCTCCCTCTTTCTTCACCCAATTCGAATACGGAAAAACGGCGGACTTCACAGCGGCGGTAGAAACTGAAAGAGGAGGATCGAACTTTGTTGCTAAATGTACGGTTCCATAGGTACCTGCACCAAGAATGCGATCTTTACTCCAGAAACCCATTAATTTTCTTTTCCTTGACCAGAAATTGAAACAAAGTACAGGGGAAAAAATAAACCAAAGTTTGGATTTTATAGTAAAATTCCTCTCTCCCTCACAACAAATGACTCCGGCTAGAACTAGGAAGTAGGAATAATCTGATTGAACTATCCGTTAATTTCAGGTTGTTTCCTTATTGATTCTATTAAGTATTTGAAAACATTCCTTGTAAAATCTTTAACTTTCCATATTTTTAAATTAATGCAGTTTGTTTCCTTGTTGGGGTCCTAATTAAATCTGTTTTGAAGATTTGACATCCTGTCAAATGTTGATTTTCTGGATTTCTCCCTTAATATTTTCTATTAATTTCATGATTTTAATTAAAAAATGGGAACTAGTAAAAAATAATTATTTTCATAACCTTTACCGAGTAAAATTGCGTGTTTCCAAAAAAAAAAAAAAAAA